ACACACACACACACACACACACACACAACACCACATATATATATATATATATATATATATATATATATATATATATATATATATATATATATATATATTCTTCTCTTTATTGTGAATACATTTATCTGCTCTTTTTCTTCCCCATGCATTTAGTTTTCTGCTTCCACATACCCTGTCTCTGGACCTTGTTATCTATTTGCCTTTGTAGAAACTTTGTTTTTAATCGCATCATAAATCACAAAATGACTTTATCCCTGGCTCCTCATTTTTTCTGGTGTTTCCTGCATCACTGGAACTCCTGGTTCATTTTGTTGGCATATTTACATTGCTGATATTCACCCTCACACCAATATTTTCCAGTTGACTTTTTCCATCACTGAATGTCCCGTTTTTGGGGCACATTAGTGTTGACTGTTGCTGAGAACCAACTTTAGCATAATTCAGGAGATTCTCTCATATCACATCTAAATTAACTCTAAATCTTACTTTCAACCCAATTATAAACAGATTATAGTCATTGATTATAAACACTCACTTTAGAAACAATAAGACAGTACTGTTAATTTTAGTTCAAAAATCCTATATTGAGAATCTATAAAATCCTAAATAAATTTCACAAATGTTTCATGTTTCCAAAGAGGAACTCAGAGGTCTCATTCAGGTGAACAGAAGCCCCTTTTTAATGCATCCAGATATCCTCAAATTGCTTTGAATTAGCAATATCATCTCTTGGCATCATAAATGTGCGTAGCTGCAAGGAATGAATAGAAGTGATTAATCCTCCTAAGCATTTTAGAATTCAGAATGCAATTGTTGCTGAGACATTTATATCAGTTTATCAGACTTGGACCAAAAATGATGGGAGACAAGAGAGCCAGACACTAAAGATGCTACAGTATATAACAGATCATCCATCATCTCTTCTTAGCAACTCAGATTGAGATTCCAGCAGAGTTGATTTTCCAGTTTGTGAGTGGTAAAATTTTGAGCAGGATTGTTTCTAGTTTAATTTTCATCCTTAGAAGCACAGGAGGCAAGCATCTCATCTATGGGCTCCTCTCCACCACCTCTGTTACAATGAATAGGACAGAATAGAAGGAATGCTTCTTGATAAAATATTTGCAATTTATTTTCCAAGAATGCTAAGAAATTTATCGACCTCTGCAATCTCTCAAGTGTTTTTGGCCTCTCTTGTGCACAGGGTCCATATTCATTTCAAATAGTGAGGATATGGAAAAGCTCTAGAGAAGCTGCAATCACTCCAAAGTGACATTGGCAGTCCTCTTAGAAAATCTACAGAGCTGAAGATTGGAAATTCTGGAAACTGCAGCCCAAGTTATCTGTAAGCTGTCTAGTTGGCAAAAGACATCTTAAGCAAAATCATAAAGTTAAGTATGGACCTTGCATATTTAGAAGAAAAATATCAATAAGCAACATATGCTGGAGGGAAATGAGAACAATCATCACCATTAGTGTTCTTCAACCTACAATCCTCCAGATGTACAAGAATACAATTCTAATAAAGTAAGAACTGAAGTTTAACAAAAGCAGAGAAGATTGATCCTTATCAATTCTTCTTAGCTTCTTAAAAGCATCTGTCCAGCTTCTCATGAAAGTCTCTATAATTAGGTACACCTTTGATCTGAATAAGGCTATTCTTATTCTTTTTCAAAGATGGTACTATTCTTTTATCTGATCTAGCTTTTTTTTTTTTCAAATGTGCCCAGTGGATCAGCATACATTGTACTCCTACTTCCAAAGAGGAGATTGGCTTCATTGCATACTTATTGTCCAGATATTGTGGGATTTGTTGGAGCTAATCTGCATAATTAATGCAGCTAATCTGCATTTGAACAATCAGTTGGTTTCTTTTAGAATGTGTTTTCATTGTTAAATCAGGACTTTTTAGATAGTGTTTGTGGATTGCACTAAATTGTAGTTGTTGATTTAACTACAGTTAGTTGGGCTCAGTAACTGCATCTGCTACGGTTTATAAACTATGATGGCTTGATTAACATACTAAAATAATTACATATGCTTTGTATATCTTAACCAGACTTTATCTGATAGAGAATTTGTGATTCATAGTGTGGGAAACCCTCCCCTCCTCCTAGAGAATGAAATATTTTTGGGAATATTAAGATGCAGAACATTATATTTCCCCAAAGGAGAAATGGAGAAACATGTCCTTAGAGGCAGAAAGCAGCCCCAGTGTTTCTTAAAGTGCCTATTCACAAACAAACTACCTTTACCCCCAGCGATGGAATTAAAATTTTCTTCCTTCTCTACCCAAATTCTAAAAACAGGACATGACCTTTAGGACATAATAGGATTAACCCACCACCATTAGAATAGCAAAAGACATAGAGCTCACTACATTGCACAACCCCTAGGGGCATTTCAGACATTGCACAACCCCCAGCAGCATCACAGAAACCTATAAAGATCCATTCACTCATTCAACCAGTTGGTCAGTTGTCCCAGAACCACATGCTGTTGGCTCTGCTCATCAATAAACAGACCTTCTTTCCTAAGCAGCTAGCCTCCATTTTCTTTCCAGCGCCTCTCTCCTAGCTTGAAACTGAACCAGATGGATTTTTCTTTCAACAATCGGTAACATCCTATGTCAATCCAAGAAATCTATGTGAAAATTTAAAGGAAAAACAGTTGATTGTAAATGAATGAAATTGTACTTGGAAGCAGCCCATTCGTGCGATTTGGGACTTCTGTTAAATTCTACAGAAAGCAATAAGAGATTGGAATGTTTCAAAATGTACTGTATTAAAAATCTGTAAGAATTGAAGAATTCAGCCTTTGCAAAATAAATTATTAAGATTTTCTTCCCTCTTTTCCTAGGTAACTGAATTGTCATTTTCACAGCTAGACCTTCTAGGACAGATCTGTCAAACTCCCAGCCTGCAGGCCGGATGTGTCACATGCTGGCCACACCCACACCAGGTTTAGCGAGGGGGGAAGTCCCAATATGTCACGTAATGCTGTAGTGACAATGTGAATTTGACATCCCTGCTCTAGGAGAAAGGAGCTCTTGTGTGATTTTAACATGGAGAGAAAATAGCAGATTATTGACAAAGATTCTGTTTCCTTCTTGCTGATCTAGAAAGGTATCTTCTTCTCTCCTAAGCACATTATCTGGCTTGGAAATTGGTTCTCCTTGTTTTTAGAGCATTTGAGTGATGAAGCTCCAAATGCAAGCTACCAATAGAAAGTAGCACTCTTCCAAGAAAAGACTAATTGCCTATTTATAATTAATGATGATTGAAAAGACAGTATTATTTTTATATTTTTCTAATAAATGATTTACTAATAGAAAAGAGTGATTTTTGCCCCCCCCCAGATCATTGTGAATTGAGGGAATGGGCAGCTAAGAATAGTAGAAACCATTGAAAAGAAAGGAAGGTGCAAGAGATGCAAATACTGGCAAATACTGCTGTTGAAAAGAATGGATGCCCTTGAGATCAGGCTTGGTAATTGGGCTGAAATCTCCTCTTTTGTAGCATTTTTTCTCCCTTTCCAGTTATTTTTTCCTTTCCATGCTCAAGTTTTTCCCTCACCTTTCTCTCCAGTCCAGCTCCCCATCTCACTCTATTGTCCTCTTTTTCTTGTCAGGACTAAGGAACAACTGTAGCAGGTTCCAGGGTCTCTGTGCCTGTGTTTGCATGTGTGAGAGAAGTTTCGGTATGTAAGTATTATCAGGGGACATAGATAGAGATCAGTCAATGTTATAAATGGAGGCAATCTATTATGCAGGCAAATAATTTAAATTAGTTGTTAAGTCCTTAATTATTTATTTTTGGGCTGGCTCTTCCTTTTCTTCAAATGTAGATTCTGGGGAGGATATGTATATCAACAGCAGTTATAGCAAAATAAGCAGCATGTGGTGATTTAATCACCCAAAAGCCACCAGCAATCAATTTACTTGTTAGGACATTTGATACAAGGATGTTTCTGTTTGCCATGGAACTTAAATGCAGATACCATCAGCATCATCCCTCCTCCCCACAAATATCCCTAGTCTTTATCATCCCCAAGTGTGATAAATGTGAAGCCAGGAGGGATTGCTTTTCAGTTTAACTTTTTTAATTTTTTTTTAAGTCTTCCTTTGGAAATCAGGCTGATGTCCAGGATTGTATTCAGGCAGATGTTAAAGATCAAGCTGTTCTGGAAAACATTTTACTATTTCGGAGTCACTTTTGCTATTACTGCTTCCCCCCCAAGTTGTCATTTTCAATATTCTCAAGGTTGATTTTATGTTTTTAGATTTACCATGAGTATTTTAAATTGTCCCACAGATGGTACTCATCATATAAACTCCCAGGATTTGGGTTGCTTGAAATGTGACATAAATACAATAAATAAACTTTGGGTGAAGGAAGACAGCTGTGTGTTTCACAGGAATTTCTGTTTATCATTTCTCTGCTCTTTCTTCTGTGGATGATTATCTTACGTGCACTATCACAGGCTAACTCTGCCCACAGTTGGAATTTGATCATGACCGGCTCAAGGTTGCTTCAGCTTTCCATCTTTTCGAGATTGGTAAAATGAGGACCCAGACTGTTAGAGGCAATATGCTGACATTGTAAACTGCCCAGAGAATGCTGTGAAGCACTATAGGGAGGTATATAAGTTAAAGTCCTACTACTTTCCTTCCTCAACTTCTTATCCCACTTCTTTCTAGCTATAATAATGTGCAGTAATTTTTTTTAGTAGCTGGAGAATGATAGCCAGGTTTACAATCTGAGTTTTCAGTGGAAACAGATTGGTATTCCCTACTGTGACTCTGACCCAAAAACATTAATCACAAATATCTGAGTGATCTCATAAAATCAACTCATTATTTATATAAGAGGCTACTACCTATATTGTTGCCATGGTTTTGGCAATTCTATGATGTCAGGAATCATTGTAAACTAAACAGCAATGGCATTATCCTGCAGCCTCCGTATGGAATGACATGTGGTTGCTTGGTAACTACATAGAATCACCTCAATTGTTAGCTGCAGTAGTCCAAGACATCCTTCATTTGGCTAAACAAGCAAGAGGGGAAGGGCATCATGAGATGTGTTGCTCCCTTTGCAACCCAAATTTTCCTGGCTGGAATTCTATTGTTCTGTTGTGAAAGTTTGGATGGATTCATACTTCCATGCCCATCCTCAAATATTAATTGCAAAAGGAATACCAATTCTCCTAGTTATGACAATGTGAATATTCAGGAGACAATTGGTAACTTCATTGAATTTCTTAGATCATCAATTTTAAAATTATGGAGTAGATTAACTAAATCAAATCCTCATGAATATTTGGATGAAACAGGATCTCATGAAAATCTGCTGAAAAAGCTGTACAAATCATCCACTGTCCTACAAGTGGCACCCAAAGCAAAAATAACCAAAAAGGAAGAGACTCAAGAGTTGGAAGTCCAAAAGGATTTAACTACAGGAATGTTGGAAGTTTCTAGGGACATCAGCCTGAGGACTAAAATCTATCTAGAAGGGTTAACTCTCAAAGAAAAAATGAGACGAAACAAAGAGAAAACTCATGAGTTGGAGATGCAGAAGGAAGTGACTAGAGAAATTTTGGAAGCTCTTAAGCTTAAGAGGTGGCCGAAGGTGATTCTCAGAGAAAAAATAACAGAAAACAAAGAGAAAATTCATGAGTTGGATATTCCAAAGGAAGTGCCTACAGAAATTTCAGAAGCTCTGAAGGTTAATATGGGGTCAAAGGTGACTCTCAAAGCAAAAATAATAGGGAACAAAGAGAAAACTCATGAGTTGGAGATGCAGAAGGAAATGACTAAAGAAATTTCAGAAGGTCTGAAGGTTAATATGGAGCCGAAGGTGACTCTCAAAGAAATAATAACAGAAAACAAAGAGAAAATTCATGAGTTGGATATTCCAAAAGAAATGCCTACAGAAATTTCAGAAGCTCTGAAGATAAATATGGGACCAAAGATGACTCTCAGAGAAAAAATAAGAAAGAAAGAGAAAATTCATGAGTTGGAGATTCAGAAGGAAGTGACTAGAGGAATTTCAGAAGCTCTGAAGATTATTACGGGACTGAAGGTGACTCTCAGAGAAAAACTAAGAGGAAAGAAAGAGAAAATCCATGAGTTGGGGATGCAGAAGGAACTGATTAGAGGAATTTCAGAAGCTCTGGAGATTATTAAGGGTCTGACGGTGATTCTCAGAGAAATAATAAAAGAAAACACAAAGGAAATTGATGAGTTGGAGATTCAAAAGGAAGTGTCTAAAGAAATTTCAGAAGCTCTGAAGATTAATAAGGAGTCGAAAGTGACCCTCAAAGCAAAAATAATAGGAAACAAAGAGAAAATTCAAGAGTTAGAGATTCAAAAGGAAATGGCTGCAGAAATGTCAGAAGCTCCGAAGATTAATACATGGCCAAAGGTAACTCTGAAAGAAAAAATAACAGAAAACAAAGAGAAAATTCATGAGTTGGAGATTCAAAAGAAAGTGGGTACAGACATTTCAGAAGCTCTGAAGTTTAATACAGGGCCGAAGGTGACTCTCAAAGAAAAAATAAGAGGAAACAAAAAGAAAACTCATGAATTGGAGATACAGAAGGAAGTGGCTACAGAAATTTCAGAAGCTCTTGCTTCACATTCCGTGGCTGAAAAAATAGGGAAGCCTGTAGCGCTACTAAATCCTCAGCAGGTTGCTTCCCTTAAGAGGCTTCCTCAAGCATCGGCTCACTCCTTACAGAAGCGCTCCATTTTACACCTTCCAACTCAGCTGCCTCCTTTGACTTCTTCTTTTGTAGTGGTTGATAGTGGTGAGGAACAGCCTGATAAAGTGGTCTTTATTCTGAAATCTGGCAACAGATCAGCAAGGCCCAGCCATGTAAAACACCTTGTAACCAGCGAACAGGCAAAAGAGAAAAATACTCAGAATGAACAAATCGCAGAGAATGAAGCGCATTGGGATTATCAGGAACAAAGCACCTCTACTCCCCTTTTATTTGACTTTTTGTCAAGCGCTGATAACTATTTTCTTCAGGGAGATATCTTTGAAGTTGAGGTGCAAAAACAGTTGGCACACCTGATCCTTAATGAGCCTAGGAGGAACCTAACTGCCCACTTGATCCGTATGATAAATGTGAATTGCAGAGAACCGACTACCCAGACGTCTTGTGATTTTCTCATCTCTAGAATTGGGCTTGTAATGAAACTCTTCAATAACAGAAAAACCATCCAGGAAGCATCTGCTCTGTTGAAATCTGATTTGTTGCTGACTAAAAATGAAACCAATATGAATATACCAAGCTCCAGAAAAATGGAGAAACCTGAGGTAAAAGCAACTTACATAAACAATCCTAACAGGTGCATTAATAGGAGTATTACAAGATATGGTTACCTAGATGTCTCTTCTCCCCCCCACCAGAAGACCCAATTGTTGTAAATTGCTCATTCATTTCTGCAAAGACAGTTACTGTTTTTGAGTAAAAGCCTTGCTAGATTGTTTATAGTAATGTGTGTGTGCCATGACCACTTCTCTGCCTGATTCCCATCTCTATATACAAGGATAAGCAACATATAAGATAAAGTAACTGAAATGTGAAAACAAGGGAAAACCAAATGAGGTTCATTAGAATTAAATCAGAAATTTCAGATATGATTATTTTACTAAAACTGAATTGGTAAAACCGTTATTGCCTTTAAAGGGTAGATGGGCCTGGATATACTTTTTTTCTGGGGAAAAGAGCTTTTATGTTAAAATACGCAAAGGCCCATCTTTCACTTTACTTCTCTTTGCAGATACCAAAGCAGGGAATTCTACAATATGGGAATGGCCTCAAATGGTGGTTGGCTGTTTCTGTGACAACTGTGATGGTGGTTATTATTGTAATAATTTGTTTGATTGAGGTAAGCTAAAATATTTTCTAGAGATCCTTATATTAATTTATTTACCCACTATATTTCAAAGTCCAATAAATTTCTCGAAACTCTCAATATGCTGTTTTGTGAAGAGCCAGCATTTCCTTGAACACCATAACTCAGAGACCACATTACTGCCGCCAGGATTTAATATAATATGTTTTCACCTCAAAAAAAGGGTAGGATTGATTTTTGTAAAATTATTGGTGAGGGGGACAAATCATGACTAAATGGGTTTATTAAGCTTGGATTCATTCCATCTTCAATTCTGAAGATGGCTGGTTGGCTTGATTTGCTCCATAAGACCTTCTTATGAGGTTTACCAAAGTCATGTTGGAGACCCCTCACCTTTTTATAAGCAGAAGATGGAGAAAAAGAAAAGTTTCTTATTGAGAAGCAGAGAGAAAAAAACATTGTTCTCTGTGACAGTCATTGATTCTTTTTCCTCAGTGTGAAAAATCTTTACATTTATCCCTCACAACCACACCTCTCTTTTTGGATTTAACAGATCTGTTCTCATAAAACTGCCAAAGGAACAGAAGGAACCCCTCCTGTAAAACGGTAACTCTTCCCTGGAGATATTTATTTGCAACTCTCTACTGTGAAAATCCTGTTTATGAGGAACAGTCTCAAAATTAGGTGGCAATGCACTTATAAGTTTCAATCTTAAAAAGCAAATTTTAGTTCACAAGATGCTGCATCTAAAAGTTGAAAACACTGAAAACATCACCAAATAATCTGATTTTTTGCTGGCTGAATCTGTATGTTTAGCACTGGCTTCTTGCTACATTCCTCAATTGGTCACATATCCTTTTTCCCCTCTCCTCTTGGCAACTTTCAATTATTTTCAGTGCTGAACAAAGATGAAAGTTTAGATTTCCAGGACAACATGCATGCTAACGAAGCCAAAAATATGTAAAACCCAAAACAGCTAGGTGGTTACCTGCAAAATGTACTCTTAAAACTTTGGAGACAATTGCAGGTATGTGTTTCAGCATAAGAGGCAATTAAGGCTTCTGCTGCTTGGTTATAGTTTGTACATGCACAGAAGAGTCTTGTGACTGAAAAGCCTTTTAAGTCCATTTTGAGAAACAGAAATATATACATCTTTCATTAAATGATAAAGAGTTTGTATACTCCTCAAGTACAGAAATGGTTGCCATATTTGGTTTGAACATTGTTAAAAGGGCTTTATCCATTCCAAGATCTCACTATTTTTCTTTTTAATTGTTTCTTTAAGGACATTTCTGGGTAGAAAGAAGGAAGATAAACCTGAAAAACAGGTATGTAAATGCAGAAGCAACTACTTGTGATCTTCAATTTTGTTATTGGATGTTAACATCATGTCTCCACATTTCCATAAGTATTATAGATGTGGTTTAGGCAAGCCTGAATTTAACAACAACAACAACAACAACAACAACAACAACAACAACAGCATCACAACTACCATCTGCCTATAGCAAAGAACTGGTGGGATCATAAGCCTGAAAAAGTCATTGAAAATGAGCATGCAAAACTACTATGGGACTTCTGAATACAGACTGACAAAGTTTTGGAACACAATACCCCAGATATCACGATTGTGGAGAAGAAAAAAGTGTGGATCGTCGACATTGCCATACCTGGTGACAGCAGAATTGACGAGAAACAACTTGGAAAAGTCACCAGATATCAGGATTTGTGCCTAAAGACCTAGGCAAGCATTTAAAAACAATTGGCACTGAGAAGATCACCATTGCTCAGTTGCAGAAGGCCACCTTACTGGGATCTGCTTGCATAATCCGCCGATACATCACGCAGTCTTAAATGCTTGGGAAGTGTTCGACTAGTGATTTGTGATACGAAACCCAGCATGGTTATCTCATTTGCTGTGTATACTGTCATTTTGTGTATATAATAATAATAATATATCTGCAAAATATTAAAATCAAAACTGAATGCTGGAAACATAATTAAAGGCATTAATACATGGGCAGTTCCAGTGATACGCTACTCAGCTGGAATAATCAACTGGACAATGGTTGAACTGGAAAACTGGGACCAGAAAACATGTAAACTATTGAATATGTACCATGCTTTACACCCATGAACTGACATCAACAGGTTGTACCTGCCAAGAAGAATAGGGGGCAGAGCGCTATTATAAATCCATCAAACTGTAGAAGAAGAAAAAGTTTGAATGACTATGTGAACCAAAGGACAGAAAAATTGCTGCAGGCTGTAGAAATGGAGAACATTATTAAAACAACAGAAACAAAGAATATAATGAAAAACAGATAGATGACAGATTAAATAGATGGCAAACCAAAGTTTTGCATAGAAAGCACTTGAAAAACCTTGAAGGAAAATGTGATAACCACTTGACATAGGCATGGCTTAAGATGGGAACCATCAAGAAATAAACAAAAGGTTTACTACTTGCTGCTCAAGAACAAGCACTACAAACTAAAGCCATGAAAGTGAAGATACAAAAATCCCGACAATCCAAACTGCCCACTTTGCAATGACAAAGTTGACTGTTTCATATTTAATATGGAAATGCAGCAAAATTGCACAAACTGATTACAAAGCTAGACATGACTGAGTTGCTAATTTAATCCACTGGTCATTATGTAAAAAATACGACTTACCTGTATCCGAAAAATCATGGGAACATAAAGTTGAAAATAAGAAGGTTAAGATCTTGTGGGACTTTTGAATACAAACGAACCATTATTTGGAACACGACATGTCAGATATCACAGTTGTTGAAAACAGAATGTATAATTTATTGATATCGCTGTACCAGGAGACGCCAGAGTTGAAGAAAAAGAACTGCAAAAATCACAAAATATCGTGAACTGGCCATTGAAACTACACGAATATGGATGAAACATGACAGTGATGCCCATTGTCATCAGGGCACATGGCACCATGTTCAAGAATTTTACACAGTACATCAAGAAATTGCAGCTTCCTGCAATAACAGTAGTGGAACTACAAAAGGCTGCGCTACTCGGAACAACATACTGTATTTTTCGGAGTATAAGATGCACTTTTTTCCCGCCTAAAAAAGCTGAAAATTTGGGTGCGTCTTATACTCCGAATGCAGCTTTTTCAAAGCTTTTTTTCAGCCCTAATGAGGTGCTAGCGGGTGAAGCGATCTTTGCCTGCTCACTCCAACTCTCAGTTGTGCTTTAGAAGCTTTTTTTCAGTGAAGCAATCTTCCATGCTTTGCTTGCTCCCTCCAACTATCAGCTGTGAAGCTTTTTTTCAGCCCTAACATGCTAGCGAGTGAAGCGATCTCCGTGGTTTGCCTGCTTTTATCATTGCTTCTCTCTCCAAAGTTCAGTTGTGCTTTAGAAGCTGTTTTTTATCCTGAAGCAGGAGATAAAACCCAGCAAACTAATATGCTGAAGCTGACCAGAAAGAGGATGCTAGCCAGATGAATACCTGATAGGCAGATTCTCCCCCCTATTTTCCTCCCCAAAAACTAAGCTGCATCTTATACTCTGAAAAATACGGTACATTTTAAGAAGATACTTGGTCGATACCTAGGATGCCGGCAACAACCCGTATTAACCATCAGAGCCAGTAAATGTATTTGTGATACATTTTAAAATGTTCCGTTGACTGAGTTTCATGTTGAATGAATAAAATGATAAATAGTAATAGTAATAGCAGCTGTTGTATAGTTATTTAAATTTGTTTAAATAAATAAATAAATATCATCCTGTCATTTTGGGAGTACCATATTTTTCAGAGTATAAGACGCACCTTTCCCCCCCCAAAAGAGGGTGAAAATTGGGGTGCCTCTTATACTCTGAATGTAGCCCCACCCAGCCTCGCAAATGGAGATTTCAGAGGCTGAAAGAAGCCTCTGAAAGAAGCTTCAGAAAAAAAGCTTCAGAAAAAAAGCCTGTAAAAGGTTTTTATTTAAAATAATATGACAAGTAACAAAAGAAGAATCAGTAAAGGTTCTAACCAAACTATGCTAACAAATCTGGAGAATGACACAATAACCAACAGATCAGGAGAGGTTAATCTACATACCAATACCAAAGAAAGGAGATTTAACAGAGTACAGATAGTCCTTCAGAATAAAAACTTCTGAAAGAAACTTCAGAAAAAAAGCCTCTGAAAGAAGCTTCAGAAAAAAAGGCTTTTTTTCTGAAGCTCTGTTTCTGAGGCTTTCAGAGACAGGAATTTTTTTTTTTTCTGAAACAGAGTTTCAGAAATTTCAGAGGCAGAAAAAAAAAGCAAGGCACAGAGCAGTTGATTGGGAGTATTCCAGGAGGCCAAACCACCCATCAATCAGTTTTTTTCTTACTTTCCTCCCCAAAAACTAAGGTGTGTCTTATACTCCGGTGCATCTTATACTCCGAAAAATATGGTATATTAAATTCAACGAGACTTACTTCTGAGTAAATATGCTTCAGGATTGGGTGCAGTGTTTAACATAGGTTGGCTTTTACTTGGTTACTGAAGTCTCTAGGCATCCATCTAAATGTAGCTTTCCTGTTTTAAAGTCACTCATTGAGTTTTAAAGTCATTTAAGCCAGGTAGGATAATTGCTCCATATTGACAGTACTATGGATAAAGATGGCAGCTTCCCAGCCATTCCTCCTGAATTTGCCAGTTTCCCTGGCTTCTCACCATTTCTTCTGGATCCTGTAAGCCAATCAGTTGCCTTCAGGAACAGGAGGCATCTTTATTTTCTGCTCAAGTAGAAGTAATTCAGAATCACTCTAGCTTCACTCTGTAGAATGAGAAGGCTGTTGTAATAGCCAATGGTCTGGAGCCCAGCCTGTCCTATACCTGTAATTTCTAGATAACTCACAATTTGAAATGTCCAAATATATACTACAGTATTTAGGGAAAAAACAATATTTTGAATTATTTTGATAGGCATTTTTATGATATAGTTCCCACACTGCGCCAAACTGTGGATAATCAGAAAATTATTTATGGAATAAATCACAATGGCTGGATTCACAAAACTTGAAGGGAAAATTTGACTTAATGTGTGAAGTGTATTGAGTCAGATGTATAAACCATATCTTAACGTTTTATGTATTTTGTGTATCACTATTACTATGGCATTTTTTTCAGGAGAAAATTTTGCTACAACCATTTGTGACTTATTAAATATACCAAGATGAACAAACATGACTTTGGAAGATTTTGCAACTACTGTATCTTATCCAATTCTGTCAAACCCATTAATGTGGGAGATAGCATGCATGAAGCAAGATAGATCTTTTGAAACAATCCTAAAAGAATAATAGTAACAATTCACTAAAATCAGAGTTGTTATGACCAGATGAATTGATAAAAATCTTATTTCCATACAACATTAAGGCACACATTTATTTCATACATCATAATTAAGCTCAAATTAAATAACATATATTAAAGATAACAACACTTGCAAAGTTTAGGAATGCTAATACTGAAAGAAATTTTTAAACTGCAGCTAACTACTAATGTTACTGGCTACTAACACTAATTAGCAGAAGTACAAAATACATTCCAGAATTGTCTATCATAGATAAAGAGGGAGCTAAAACCTGTGTCCTAATTAGGAGTTCACAGTTAAGTTTGCTCTAATTTGCTAGCCACATATTTCTTCAGGAAGAACCTCCATTCCAGGATCTGGAATTTTAATCTGAGATATAAAGAAAATGATAATGCAACACAAACATTAAAATCTCAGACTGAAGTTTTATTATCATTTTTTCACATCCTTTCCTCATGCTTAGATTTCAGCATCTTCTTTCGACAAGCCTCCTTGGCTTAAGGATATGTATGAATCTCTTGATAAAGTAGGCAAAAAATACAGCAGTGATAAATCTGTTAATGAAGAATCCTCTGGAGAAGAAGAGACATTCAATCGTGAAAGCACAAGGTATTTAACTTTTCTTTTTTCCCCTTTGGCACATATTACAAGAAAAAAATTCATAAAGGAACGTGAGGAGGAGGAGGAGGATGCATTTAATCTGCCCAACTCTTGGCAATTCTATGGACCAGGTCTCCCCACATCTTCCTATCTTGCACTACTTCCTTGAGTTTTTGTCTGCTCTGGTTGATGTCAGGCTTTGATAGTATCCAGCCACCATGTTCTTTGACAGCCTGGCTTCCTTTAACCACTGACTCTTCCAAATGTAATTGCATTCTCCAGTAAATTCCCCTGTGTGACATGACCAAAGTAAAACTAGAGCGGGAATCATCCCATTCTGCAACTTAGAGAACATCTTTATATTTTTCATTACAAAATTCTTGGAACAGATTTGGATTTGTCCAAAATGAGATCACTGCAATGCAGGGGTGAAATCCAGCAGGTTCTGACAGGTTCTGGAGAACCGGTAACTGAAATTTTGAGCAGTTCGGAGAAATGGCAAATACCACCTCTGGCTGGCCCAGAGCGGGGTGGGAATGGAGATTTTGCAGTGTCCTTCCCATGCTATGCCCACCAAGCCACACCACACCCACCAAGCCATGCCCACAGAACCGGTAGTAAAAAAAAATTGGATTTCACCACTGCTGCAATTCGCTTTACATGGGGCTGCCCTTAAAGTTCACTTCAACTGCCCTTGAAGGCAACTCAGAAGCTACAACTGGCCTCAAAACCAGTGGCACATGCAGCCCTAGGTTTGCCAATCCTACACCTCTGTGGTACGAGCTGTGTTGGCTCCCAGTTTTCTTCTGAGTGTAATTCAAGCGTCTGGCTGTCATCTTTAAATCCCTACATGGCAAGGATCAGGATATTTGCAGGATTGCTTCTCTCTAACAGTATCTGCCCTTCCTACCAGATTGGATAGGGTAGGTACACTCCAGGTCCTTTCCTGAACTCTTCCCATCTAGTGGGGGCTCGGAGGTGTGCCTTTTTCTGTGGCTGTCCCTATCTTATGGAACACTCTCCCCCCACCAAAAAGATTCAGTAAAACCAGGTGCAGGTATGGAAAAAGAATATCTGAAGCTGGTGGTGAAACATCCCAAAGGAATGACTGTGGAGCCTGGTTTTTGTTTTCATTTTATGGTTTAATAGTTTTATTTTATGGTTTATTAATTTTACTGTTATTACTACCCAGAATTTTGTTTAAGATGGATAGCCATACAAATATTTCTTATGGAGCTAAAAGTCTGGCATTCCATAGAAATGCTTATTTTTTATTCCATTGAAAAGAGCCACAACATATCTGCAAGAATGAAAAATGTACGCAATTGCAGATGTTGCCCTTGTTGACTGCAAAATTTGGATGTTCTCTTCATATACTGCTTCTGTAGTTTGCTGCGGACACCACTTAGCTTTTCTGGCAATGGCTATTTTCTCTAAACATGGGCATACTGCAGAACCCATGTGTGTAATATTGTTATGAAAATAGGTTTGTTACAACCATCATGTACAAAAACTGTACATGAAGAACAAACCATACAAGTTGCAAAAAAAATCATAGATGTTATTGTTGAACAACAAACTCTGTAATTTCTGCTCTTTATCAGATCTCCAGAAATATCTGAGCCTTTTCCTGTGGAAATAACGTGAGTTACTACATATACTATAAAACTATTACTAATGTTTTTTTCCTGTTTAAAATTTAGAGTACCACAGCAATTCTTCTGCAGTTTTATTGAAATGAAATTATTAGAAAACTTTAGAGTGCTGTTTCCAACACAATTGAGTAACTGAGCAGAGTTCAAAACATTGGAGAATACTAATGGTATTTCACTGAATTTTTAAATTTTCTATCTATATCTATATCTATATCTATATCTATATCTATATCTATATCTATATCTATATCTATATTATCCTTTGCAATAATGTATTTTATTTTTCAAATATAACCACATTTTCCTCATAGGTTTCCTCCATCCAAAAATGGAGATTTAATTCAATTAATATTTTAGAAACAGCTACAATTGATAAAGACCCAGTTGTTGCAGTGGTTTAGGTACCAGGCTAGAAACCAGGAAATGGTGAGTTCTAGTCTCACCTTGGGCATTAAGCCAGGAGGGTGACCTTGGGTCAGTCACTCTCTCAGCCCTAAGAAGGAGGCAATGGCAAACCGCTTCTGAAATCTTTCCAAGAAAACTGCAGGGATAGGCCAGACATTTGCCAGAAGTCAACATTGATATAAAGGCATGCACACAAACAATGATAGTTAAATAAATAAATCCACAAAAAATCTTTATGTAAATCCCTCAAAAGTGGTCAATTTAGAGCAAGAATGCCATCTGGGTGCAGAACCAATTAAACAAACAACTGTGCCTTTAAGATGTGCCTTTAAAGGTGCCTTTAAAGCCTTAGAGCTTTAAGGCTTTAAAAGAACTGCAATAGAAGTCCTTTATGTTGGGATCAGATTCTATTTTGTTCAAGGACACATACAATTTTTACATTGACTAAAATGAATTTGTTATTCTATTGCATCCTATCCTGTAGGATTGTTTCTCGAGGCATAGAGGAGACATGAACCATTGGTGTTTCCAGAAAGCTAATCCATTTCTAGTACCAAAGTTAGAGACATATTTGTTTATGTTCTTATTTGTTGGATATATGTTTTACCATTTCTTTTCCTGTGGACTCAAGATAGCATATAGGGGAGTTCCCACTCATTTTATCTCAACAGCAACAAACCTGTGAGTAGATTTATCTCAGGAGGTGACTGGCTCCAAATTACTCAGAGGGCTCTATGACATTTGTGGAGATTTGAACTTGGGTCTCCCCACACCTGGTCCAACAGTTTAACCCAGTTATCCTTTAAGTCACACTCTGAACTACAAATCAACAAGCTGAAGCAGAATCAGAATACATAAAATAAATGTATATAAGAATCAAAGGCTTGAAAAAAGCTAGAAGAGTCTGCTTAGACGTTTTGGAAAAGCTAAACTTCCAATTCAACAAAGGTGAGGCCCTGGGTTTTGCAGCAAAACCATTTTAGGATTATTATGAGCAAATAACACAATTGTTGCTACCTTTAGAGAAATTGTGAAATGCTGGGTTCACATAAGGAAATAAAAGATCACAACTTTGTTCTTTATTAACCATTTAAACTTGGATTAATCTCTGTTTCTACTTTATCTACCTAGGGAGATAATGCCAGCACCCCCACCACCACCCCCATCAGCTGAACCTCCGGCTCCGGCTCCGGCTCCGGCTCCAGCTCCGGCTCCGGCTCCGGCTCCAGTTCCGGCTCCAGCTCCGGCTCCGGCTCCAGCTCCAGCTCCAGCTCCAGAGCCTGTTAAAAAGGCCAGTTCAAAGAAACTGTGAGTATCTGTAGACTTACATGTGTCGGATAGTATTTCTTTACTTAAAGGTAGATCCATAGATTCTAATTCATTCAGTTTATAAAAGAGCCATGCTGGCACAGTGGTTAGAATGCAGTATTGCAGGCTAACTCAACTGTTCACTGCTAGGAGTTCAATCCTGACTGGCTCAAGATTGACTCAGCCTTCCACCCTTCCAGTGTCATTAAAATGAGGATTCAGATTGTTGGGTGCAATATGCTGACTCTGTAAACTTGACTCTGTAAAGCACTGTGAAGCAGTATATAAGTCTTAGTGCTATTGCTATTGAATTTCTTAATCATATTTATATAAACTGATTGTGTTTCATAGTTGCTATACTAAGAGGAGAGGCCACTCAAAATTCCTAGCCCTATCTATAGGCAAGCAAATTGGGATGGAGCAATATTTGGTTTAATTTGCTCAGGAGAACAAAATTCTCCAATAGATTGGAGCTCATGGTAGCCACATTCCAGAGGACAATTCATCTACAGCATGTTTTCTCAATCACAGAACCTTTAAGATGAGTGGATGTCAACTCCCAAAATTCCCTAGCCAGCCATGCTTAATATTAACATCTTAAAGTTCCTGAGGTTGAGAAAATCCAGTCTAAAACTTCCTTGCATTTTAAGAAGTTTGAAAAGAAATGAGCCATTATCCTACCCAGGATAATGTGTCCGTAGGAAGGATGCAATCTCAGTTGTAGCAGAGTTCTTTTTAACTTCTGTTATGTTAAAACACCTTTCTCTCCTTTTCAGGTCTGAAAAAGAGACAACCACTAGTGAAACCTCACCAACGACTGAGTGAGTAGTAGAGTCTCTCAAAGATTGTTATTTAACTTATAACCTTTTTCCTCCAAGACATTTCCTGGGAATAGAATAGAATAGAATAGAATAGAATAGAATAGAATAGAATAGAATAGAATAGAATAGAATAGAATAGAATAGAATAGAATAGAATAGAATTCTTTATTGGCCAAGTGTGATTGGATACATAAGGAATTTATCTTGGGTGCATATGCTCTCAGTGTACATAAAGAAAAATAAAATAGAATACATTCATCAAGAATCATAAAATACAACACTGATAGTCATAGGTTACTAATAAGCACTCAAATTATACTAGGAACAAATAAAATAATATAAATTGTTTTATTGGGAAGGAGACAATCTTAGCTGCAGCAGAATTCTTTTTAACTTCTGTTTGTTAAAATGTTTTCCTGTTCTTTGTCAGGTCTGAAAAAGAGACGCCCACTACTGAAACCACTACAAAGACTGAGTGAGTACTATAGTCTGTTAAGGGCTGTTCTTTAATTTATAACTTTTTTCTCCAACTTATTTCTAAGTAATGTGTTTGTTTAAAACAACATATAATTTGTACTGTTACTATGGCAGTTTCATCATTATTAAAATCAACAATTTTACACACCTAAAAACCTTTGCATATATAAACTAAATATAAAATACACTGCATGCAGAATTGTAACACCTAATTCCTCTTGTAGTGTAATAATATGAAATAATCTGGAACAATAAGGGGTCCATTTTTTAGTAGCTGAACACATTTCAGATTCTAAGAGCATTCTGAATTAAAAATTTAAATTGGGGGAAGCTGAACTGGGAAGCAGAGGATGCCTCCTAGTTCTAGCACTCACTAGTACCTGGTTGAAACTACAAGGCAAAAAGCAGCATTCTTTCCAGAGTGCCCCTCTCCCCAAACCCAAATGAGAGTTTCTAGCTAAGTGCAGGAAACTGGCCAAAATAATTTGCTGCCCAAATTTGAGCAGCAGAGAGTGCCTCTCTCCCAGGGAGGCTTAATTTATTTTGGTGCACATTAAGGAAGGTTTTATGAAATCTTCTCACTCTCTTTAGTGTAAGTAAATGGAGGTAATGATGCTACAAAACTGATTTGTTTGCTGGTATAATAGGGATGGAGAAGTACCTTGCACAATGCTTTTGTGGATTGACCTCTTCTGCCACAAATTCATTTACCTGAAAACTCTGTTCCAACCTGACTGGAAGTTAGATAAAAGAAGACTTAAATATGGGGTTGACTGTCCTCTAGACCCAACAGAAGAGACCACAATGTGAGATGAAAGAGAACCTTCTTATGAATAAAATAAAATCCTCACCACTGAATTTGGAGAGACAAAGAAAAGCAAGTCATAACCAGTAGTATTTGGAAAGAAAGGACTCAAATGATAGCTCTAGCACGTGGGGAACCCATACAAAAAGCAAGCTTACATACAAGCAATAATTGATGCAGAGAACTGCTGCAACACAGGCAGTTCTTGAGGCTCCTGGAGTGGCCCATGTTACATCACTGCTCTAAGAGCTGTGCTAGTTGCTGGTTTGCTTCTGGGTGCAATTCAAAGAATTGGTTATTATCCTTAAAGCCCTGCATGGTATAGATCTAGGTTACTTGAGGAACAGTCTTGCGCATTGAGGCTTGCCCACCCCACTCCCATCAGCAGAGGAGGCAAGCTTCGGGCTCCATCAATCAAGGAATTGTGGCTGCTAGGGTCCAGGAGAAGGACCCTCTCTGCTGTGGCTCCTGCCCTTGGGCAACTTACCCTTGAGATGAGATCATCTCCCACCCTTCAGACCTTCTATAAGGTTAGACCTGAAGACCTGACTCGGTCAGATGGCTTGGGGCCCCAAAAGCTTCACATTGGAAGTGGCTGGTGAATTAAGAGGCAATCCCACCTCCTCCCCTCCACTGAGTATCCTGCTTCCTTCTTCCCCATCTTTTATCTTTTAGTTATCTTTTATTTATTAACTTTGTCTTTGATATAACTGCTTTTATAATCTTAGAAATGTTTATCTTTTATGCTGTAACCCTCCCAGGCTTGCTTAGGAAGAAGATGAGTGGCAATTAAATTGAATAAATAAACAGATAAATGACTAGGGCAAGCTGACCAGGTGAAGATAAAATATTCAACTGCTGCCCGAACAATACTTAAATTCTGCTTTTAATTTTTCTTTTAACCAGGGCTTCAGAAGAAGAAGGAACTGAAGCTACGTCAAAGAAAACGTAAGTAGCTTCAGTATGCAAGTCAGGAGTATTTCTCTTTAGGAATTTTTGAAGTTCAGAATGCATTATAAGATACGTAATGTCTCAAACATCTCATCATCTCATCATCTTATTTTATTCTTCAACAATAGAAACAAAAATTTCTAGTAGGAAATAGGAAAAGGAAGGAGAAAAACTACAAAAGAGCAACAACTTTTTACCTTTTCCCGTTCTGGAGTACCGAACCCCTATTACAAAAAGGAGCAGATTGCCTTTCACTGTATATTCATTGTATGTTTCTGTTGCTACATGTGGGTGTAATTTCCTATCATTTTTCTATCTATCTGATTCTAACAGATTTTTCAGTTTTGTTTTTGCATTTGTATTTAAATTGGATCCTATATTTACTCTTTGAAGAATAGTCAGAAAACCTGCAGTAACTTTTGGACAAATGGCTCTTTTTAGAAATGGAAATGCTTGGTAAATTAATAAGCCCACTGCTAGAGCATTATATAATTAAAATAGCATGAAATCTAAAATAAAACATTACACAATAAAACTATTATTCCTCCCTAAAAATATAAAGAAGGAATGGGATTTTTTCCCCTAGAAGGTGTGTGTGTGTGTGTGTGTGTGTGTGTGTGTGTGTCTGTGTCTGTGTCTGTGTCTGTGTCTGTGTGTGAGACATCTTTGCTAGAATACAGGACATACAAAGCAAAGGTATGTTTAGTGGATATAAAAATAGGTTCAAGCTTCAATTATTTTTAGGTGATTTTCCTATGTTTGTTTAGATTTCCTCAGAGAAAATGTATGTCCTTTCTGAAAAAATCTAGCCTAGCAACATTGCAATTCATGGAGAGAATATAGGAATTTGCACATCAATACCTGACATTCCAGATTTTCTTAATATATTCAGTTTGGGGGATCATATTTTCCAATGTATGTTAAAATATATAATGACATTTTCATATTAGCTCAGTTTAATAGAAACTGGAAATGCAGATTTAGAAGTCAATCATTGCTTTCTGTCAAAGAAGTTAGTATCTTACAACAGAATTAGCAAAAGCAATAGCACTTAGACTTGTATACAACCCCACAGTGGTTTACAGCACTCTCTGAGCTGTTTATAGTGTCAGAATAATGCCCTCAACAAAATGGCGGCAATACCAACCTTGGAAGGGCAAGATATACCAACCTTGTGCCAGCCAGGGTATAACTTTTGATTGTGGAAAGAGTTAGCCTGCGATACTGCATACTAGTAATTAGCTGTACTACTCAGGACAGAAAGTACTGCAATGTGCAGGATGAAGCTGAGTTGGCAAACTAGAGGAAAAGATTCCAGGATTGTTGAGAAGTGAAAAACAAACAGAAACTCAAAGGACATGTTAAAATATCTCAGTAGGCAAGATAATATTGTGTTCTGCCTGTTACAATTCTCATTTTGATACAAGAATATGCATCCTGATCTGTATAACCAATTCACAGATGGACCCCAGAGGATATAGTGTGTTTTACACCTAAGTACATTTACATTTGGATGCCACAATAAGAAATCTCCCAAAAACTGGTTTACTAGGAATAAGCGGTACCCTGTTTTTTTAGTTGCACTCATTGTATTCCTCCTATTGAAATATTTTATTTAGCACAGATGTTTGTTTATAGGGAGATAGAAATAGTCATGCATTTCATTTATTTATTAAACAAATGTATATAATTGCCCAACTCACATATACGTAATTCCAGGTGGCTTATAACGTTTATTTAACATTTATTGATTAATTTCATTCAAACATGTCAAAAAAGAGAAGCCGGAACCTAATATTTCTTTCCTCAGTCTTGCTGGAAGGCCAATACGAGGCCTCTGGAAACTTACTGCTCACCTTATGGCTTCACTTCTCCCTTAATGTAGATAGAAAGTGACGCGACCCAAAGTAGCTATTGTGAGAAGATTGGGTGGTTACCAGGGCCTTTTCTCTTAAAGCAACTGGCTGTGATAGTGTTGTTGAAATGCAGTGCAGAAATACTGAAATTCTTGCTCTTCTCAAAAAAATAATGTTACCTCAGTATATGGATATTACTTTAGAAGCAACTGAGAATAAGGATACTGGATCTATTATGAGAATAATAGCTTGACAAAAGTTGAATAGACTGATTAGAAGAATATGTAGTTTTATAACCACATCGTGATATCATCTTTTATTCCTTTTATATCTACAGAAGTTCAGAAGAAGGAGATGAGGATGAAGAAGACTAATCCTACTTATGTATTGCTATATATTTTATTATTAAATACATTTCTCCATGCATCTTCTCATTGTTATCCTTATCCCGAGGCTGAAAAACATTTCAGAATAGCTATTCTCCCATTTGGAGCAACTGCAATTGGATTGAGCTAAGGTTCATATTACTCATGGCCCTAATGGCTACCAATGATAAAATCTATATAGGTTTCCTGGTTCCAGAATGATGTTTTACAAATGTGTAGATCATTCACATTGCGTTTGTGTAGCAGCAGGATTACCCTAGTATGTATGTATTCATTTATTTATTGCATCTCTATAAAATCTTCAATAATGTTTCCAGGTTCCCAAATGTGGAATACAGTATCAGGTCTTTTTATATCTGTAACCATAAACTGTAACAACAACAACAACAACACCACAATAAAAATAGCACGGAGTGAAAGAAGACTTGCAATGTGACTAAGAATCAACAACATTTACAGTACAAAATGAAAATGAAACGGATATTAAAAAGGCTGAGGAATAAAACAATATTCACTTAATGGCCAAATAACAAAATTAGCTGTATAAGACTATTCTCCTTTGCAGGGAAAATATTCTATTTTCCTCACTTCACATGTCAGGAGCAAGGAAATAGAATAAAACAACCTTTGAAAAAGCTTTCATGGTTCAAATTGAGAGATGTATGAGTATAAACTCTTTCTAAAATCTTGGTCCCAAGTGAAAAGAGCACTAGATGAGCCCAGAAACATCCTGTGCAGCTAATAAATCAGTGGAGTAGCATGGAAAATTTATTTGGCCCACTGAAATTTCAAGGCTCTTGGAAAACAATGCACTATGGAAGATGACCACAGCAGGATGAAGGGTAGATAGGATATCACCTGCAGGAAAAGTGACAACAACTAGTTTATCAGCCAAAACTGATGAAGAATGTTTATTTCTTGTCAGAGAGTCTGCTCAAGTTTTTAGGGACAACATTGGATCAGGAAGCTCTCTGATAACCCCATTCAGAACTGGATGAATACTTTAAACACATATGCACACCAGTATTCAAGTTAACTATGGTTAATGGTTTCAAATTTCCTAAACATTTTATTCTATCCATTACCACATCGTTTTTTATGTTTGTTGAGAAAAAAAATAAACTCAAAGTCATCTATCCTTTGTGGTATTTCTGGATCTCTCTCATCCAGAGATTGTTTGAAATATCAAAGTTAACATGGAAAAAAGAAGGAAATTCTTAATCGGACTCTGTTACTACCACTATTTGAAACTACCCATCCAAGCAAGAATATATGTAGTTCAAGCTTCACCTCCAGCATACAATTTGTATAGTCTGTTCAGAATACAGAAGGGTCAATGGCATGAAAAACTCCAATGAAATCAAAGTGGAACCTTATTTGTTCCTGAGGTGTTGCTGTTCTTTTAAAAATTGAGCTATTGATCTAAAGTCACATGCTAAAGCGCGGTGTCTGCCTTGCTATCTGGGTTTATAGTATAGTTCAATAAACATTGCAGCTGTAGGAAATTGGAAAGACCACATGTATTCACATTTTTTTGTATATTGGCCTAATTTGAGACAGTGATGAGTCTGCATATAGACAAGAGGTTGAACAACTGGCCCTGTGGTGCAGCTGGAACAATCTGGAGCTGAGCATGCTTAAAACTGTAGACATGACAATGAGTTTTAGGAAGAACCCTGTATTCTACCACCTCTTACTGTATTCAATAGTACCATATCAGCAATCCTTCAAATTAGGACTTGAAACAGATATACAATATTAGAACCATCATTAAAAAGGCACAACAAAGAATGTGCTTCCTGTGTCAACTCAAGAAGTTCAGACTGTCCCAAGAGTTGTTGATACAGTTCTACAGAGGAATTATTGAGTCTGTCATTTGCACTTCTAGAACTGTATGGTTTGGTACAACAACCAAGCAGCACGGGTACAGACTCCAGTGGATAGTTAGGGCTGCAGAATGAACAATTGCAACCAGCCTATATAACTATATTTTGCAAAGGTCAGAAGGAAAGCTGCGAACCGGTAGTAAAGGTAAGTAGAACCCATTCCTGATGTGGCTCTGCTTCATCAATAAACCATCTTTCCAATCAGCCTCCATGTTTCCAGTGTCTTTCTCCCAGATTGGAACTGAACAAGATGAATATTTCTTCCAACAGCACTGTAGATCATTGCATGTCAAAACAAATAGGAGCAGGGAATTCTGGTTATAGTATTGATTTAGAGAAATGGCAAAAATTGTGGTCACATAATTATAAAATGACAATGTCTACAGCATATAAGGAGAATTTGTATGAGATGTTTTACAGGTGGCACTTACCCCCGACGAGGATAGCCAGAATGTTCAAGAACAAATCGGAGAAGTGCTGGAAGTGCCATCAGACCCCAGGATCCTATTACCATATGTGGTGGACATGTGTAGAAGCAAAGAGATTTTGGACTAAGATACACACATGGTTGGAAAAAATGACAAAGAGACATATTGACCTTAAACCAGAGATATTTTTATTAGGGATCTTACCAGAGACATTTAACAAAGAATTACAATATTTGATTGTGAATATATTAACAGTGGCTAGAATTGTATTTGCAGAAAACTGGAAAGGAGAGAAGATGATTACTGGTGAAGAAATTATTAGGAAAATGTTGAACTGTGCTGAAATGAGTAGATTGACATTTGAAATAAGAGAACAGGAAGATAAACAATATTATTTGATATGGGAACTATTTTATCAATGGATAGATAATAAAGCACGGAGATGAAATATTATACATGAAATGAAATTTGGATAAAATGGTTAAGCACTTGTTGTTGTTTTTTCTGATAGAAATAAGAATATCTGTCATATGAGAGTTTGAAAATTTTGAGAGCACAAAATGATTTTCACCGATCGAAATACTGTCTGTAAGCATTTGGAAAGTTGATGTTTTTTATGTTGTTTATGTTTAAAAAATAAAAAACTTTTTTGGGAAAAAAAAGCGATTATAGCAGCACCTCAGATGGTAATTTGCAACAAGCAACTGTTTGCCTCTGGATCAGTTGTACAATAGTGTGGAGTCAAAATCTAATGGGCATGATAGGATCTCTGGACACAGAACTATCTATTTAGCTGAGAAGCAGGTAAACAAAATACTTCAAGTACACAAAAATGCACTGCTGAACAATTATTTTCCAGTGCACTGCTTGGAGAATCCAAAGCTTTGGGTTATTCAATAGTCTAGTAGCCAGAAAACTGAGTGTGTTCCTTTAAAATTCTTCAGACATGCCCACTTGCTCATCTGAGTCAGTTTTATTCACTCAGTTGAGCCACTGAGACTGTCCTTTTTTGCTCTGGTCTTCTGCTAGGCCAATTGCCTCTCCATCGCAGTTTCGGTAGCCCTGCCGAAACTGGCCCCTTGACAGGCCCCTTGACAGTAATGGACGGGCTTTTCTGCCCGGCAACAGCACTGAGGCTGCGCTACCGGACTGGAGTGTCCCAGCGCAATTTTGATGACAGGGGCGGGGCTACAATAGGAGCGTCTTGCTGACAGCCGCCTCTCCTTGTTCTCGGCTGCTTGGAAGGAACTGCAGCTATTTTCTAGCATTCCTCTCGGCCTTGCTAGCACTTGCTTCGCGCCTCTCAACGATGGGTCGGAGCAAGCTGGAACCATGCTGAGAGTGATTGACTGATCTGAAGGTCACCCCCTTCAGGAAGTTGCCGGTCTACTCCTTGGGAACGCCACCGACTGGGTTGGCTGAATTGCTGCCAGCCCACCTCGATGGGGTGTCGCAGGCTTGCCTCGGTGGGGTAATGCAGGCCTACCTCGTCGGGGTGTTGTCGCCCTACCTCGCCGGGTTGTTGCAGGTCTACCTTGCCGGGGTGTTGCAGATCTACCTTGCCGGGGTGTTGCAGGTCTACCTCGCCGGGGTGTTGCAGGTCTACCTTGTCAGATTGGTTTTGTCCTACTTCCCTCCACCTTTTCCGGAGCTGGTTGATGTGACGTCTACAGACCTGTCCATCTTCCAGCTCCACTCTGTAGGACTTTGGGCCTCCACTTCTCCTTCCCGGGGTTGAAGGCTGCTAGTGAAACAAGTGTGGCTTGCGATGTCACCATGGCTTCGGTGGCTTTGTCTTTGTGACTTCAGCTTGAGTTCAGCTCTTAGTTTGGTGGCAGTGTGCCACGAGGTTGTCGCTGCGGTTCTTTTGAATCCTTCGTTGCCAGTGTTAGATCAGGCACAGGAAAAGAAGACACGACCAGTGTGGTCCATTCAGCACTTTTATTGAGTGAGAATAAGACTGGCGGCTGTGCTGCCGGAGCTCTCCTTTTAAGCGCTCCCGGCAAGTTGCACCACCCAGAGACAGCATTTTGAATTTCCCGCCAGAGGATTAGCCAATCCCCGGCAGGTGTCCTTATAAGGACCTAACACAGATAGTCCTCAAGGTACAACAGGTCACTTAATGGCAGTTTTAAGTTACAGAGACAGTCCCCTCCCCCCAAAAAGACACATACGACCCTGTGGCAAAGTTACAAATTCTGCAGAGCCGATATGGTTACTTGCCCTTAGGACCATGCAGCACACCCACCTATCTGTTCCTTCCCACATCCTGCCCTACCAAGTGCCTAAAGATACTGGACCTGCTTTGCACCTGATTCCACCCCATCTAGAATCACCCCACCTGATTCCACCCTGAGTTCTGGGCAAAGCAGAGAACCGTCCCCTCCCTGTCAGCTTACTTCTGCCTTTTGAAATCTGAGCTAGCTCTGCCGACAACGGAGAACAGAAACCATGCAGAGGGCTAAATAATTCTGCTCAATTCCCAAACATGGAAGTCCATGAGAGGGACAAGAGAGAGTGAAATACGCAGGGTGACCCTGCAAGTTCCTAGTTAAGCAATAGATTTGCAGATGATACTGTGATGTGTATTTTATCTTTCTTTATCAGATCCCTTTGTTTCTAAATGCATATGGTTCCAAACTAACAGACAAACTTGTCCTTTTCTGCTAGGACCTATGAGGATCTACAAAAGGAAAAGAAACTTGGGATACCGGATTTATGTATCT